TTAATCTTTTAGGGCTTAGGAGAGGCGACTCTAAAATAGATGTAATAATAATAGTTTTTTATTCTAGGTAACTTAGATCCACTCGTTAGTAATACATCTGTAATTTTAAGTATTATGTTAGTTTACAGTATAATATATTATAAATGTAATAAAATACATTGAAATAACATTAAAATTGAAAATTGAAACAAAATAACATAAAAAAAATTGAAATATTAAAATAAAAGTAACTTATACACTTTAAATGAAAATAAGATGACAAAAACTAAAATGAACATTAAAATTGAAATAAAACTAAAAATAAAATAGAAATTTCTTCCCCATACAAATAAATGGACGACGGGTCTAATACAAAAACCACGAAAAAATGTCCCAAGTCAACCTATTTAAACGTAGTGACATGTAAAGGAATATGAAAAAGCTAAAACGTTGAATTTAAATTGTAATGTCATCGTAGTACTGTCTAATTTTGCTTGCTTCGCTGTCAGTCGAACAAACGAAGACTAAAGCGTGAATGACGCTCTGTATACGATTTGAACGCCCTATAAGTTCGGACACTTTTTAGCGCGGACCCGACGTCCATATAATTGTAAGTCAATGACTAGCTACATTGTAATTTAATTTTATGTTTTGAGTGACTAGGTTGCAAATTAACACGCCAACAAAATGCTCAACAATAGGCACCGCTATTTTATAATTTGAGAGAGCTTAGCGCAATATGTGCGGTATTCGTCTTAAAGATAGAATGCCGAAAGTATAGCAAGAGAACGTTCTGGTATGAAAGATGATGTAGTGACAAGGATAGAGAGAGAGGGATGCTTTGATGGTTTGGTCATGTACAAAGAATGAATGTTGGTAGATTGACGGCACAAATTTATAGAGCGAACGTGGATGGAAGCGTGGGGAGAGGTAGACCTCGGCGAACATATCTCAATCAGATTGAGGATGTGCTTAAAAAAGGCCGGGTTAAGAGTACCAAGAATGAACGGGCATGTAGAAAAAGATTAATGGCAGTGGAGGAGGCGAAGATTTGTGAAGAGCGTAGTAAAGTGGAGGTCTATAGTCTCTGCCTACCCCGGTGATGATATGTATGTATGTATTTTATAACAAAATAGTTAGTGCAGTGCAGTTCTATGCAGGAGCGATGATGTCTTCCTTCGCATCATGGCATGAAAGTTAACATTTCCCATCAAATCATGTAGGTCGTGTTGGTTTTATGATTTTCGTGGGATAAAAACACTTTTGACGTATGATCACATGTACAGTCAAGAGCACATCAAGCTTGAAGCTTTGTACTTTGGACCGTTCGTATCATAAACGGCATAGAGTTGAACTTAAGTTTTAAGTCTCAAGCTTGACGTGCTCTTGGCCCTGTACCTTATTATCAAAAGGTACGAATTAAAGCTAGGGTTCAAAACGACCTCGGCATTTAAAGAATTGACGAAACCATTTTATAGATACACGTGCTTTATATAGTTGATCCGAAAGCTGTTGCTGTAATATCCATCACGTTTTATCGTTGACATTTTGGATGCAAACTAATCAATCTCAATGACATTCAATAGACACGGTCCATAATTCTCTCTTCACGGTCTCGTATAATCTCAATATTAGATGGACCCATTTAATATAATTTTAATTACTTTTGTTATTATTTTATTTTTATAATTTACAGGCAAGGTACAATACAAGCTTAAATATTAGAAAGTAAAACTAGGGTTAAATTATACGAACAAAATTGGATGCCCCCGGCAAGGTGCCCAAGATGCTGGCAGCGTTCCCCCGTTATATGCTATGCTAATGCGTTAACTCCAAGGGCTGTATTTAAATTTTTTATATTTTTAAAAATATTTTAAAGGTTTTTTTTCTACATTGGAAATGAGTTTTTTTTAGAAATAAATAGCTTAGCACCAAATAGAGCAGTAGTACTCCTTGTGAAAGAGTAAGTACTGCCACCTTACCTATTTCTGCAGCCAAGCAGGAAAATGAGCATTACTACGTTCAAGGGTGCTGGTGAAATTGCAGGTAAATGGGACTTGTCAACTTATGTCTCAGGGCGACGGGCGCAGTGGCAGTGCCCCTCAAATCTGTGTGATTTAAAGATGTGAGTGGTATTGCAACTGTTATGAACAGGCGTGTCGCTTATTACACACGATTTGATCGTCCCTTCACTATATATCATAAAAAAAAAACACTTATGTACTATCACTAACTGAAACATAACCGTTGTATTTGTTATATCATGTATATTAATTATAGTTATGGTATTTTACACTCCCAAAGAGAATTCCGATTTTAAAATTTAATTACAATAATACAATAGAAAGATATTTATTCCGTCGATTTATCCAATCTAACAGGGTAGGTGATATGGGGCGCCTTTTTACCTTATCCCGCAGATGCTCATCAATTCCACGCTGATCTCAATGAACCGCTCTTATTCAGCGAGTTTGGTTAAATAAGGCTCTATTAATTATATCAATAGGCTGTTGCGGGTGAAAGCCTTTGCTGAAATTGATTTATCGCAACGACTACAGCGTTGGTTGTGTACACTGGTTGGGAGTTCTGAATCGATATTTATTTAATAAGAAATATATGACCACTTTGACCCAACGGTTTGCAATATGGGAAATACTGCCACTTATCTATTTCTGCCGCCAACCAGTAATGTGAGCATTACCTACTGAAAAAATTAAAAAGAATACCAGAACGTATTAGAATCCGTGCGTTACCCTTATTTTGTTAAAATAATGAAAATGAATAACTACAAAGTCGGCAATATGACGATAAAAAATTCGAAAATTACAATAGAATGAATAGAATCATGTTTATGGTATTACTTCAACTCTTGGAAAGCCATATTCAACGACAAGAAATCATCTTCGGAAACACTATTTGTTCAGAAGAAAGACTTATAATTACGCTGAGGCGAGTAAAAATTCGGAAACACTATCCCATATTGCAGGGTGTTGTTTTCCATTCTCTATAAATTATTCAATTCGATTTTCATCCATCGTGGTTAATTTGAAAAATTAAACACGTACATCTCACTAGTGACTGCAACCGAGCGTGACTGCAGCGCGACAGTCGTGCGGCCGCAGCGCGGTTGCAGCGTTTCCAGAAATTGTATGAAAAGTTATAGTCGCGCGGCAGCCGCGCAGCTGCAGCGCTGCTGCAGCGCGTCTAACAGCGGCTAATTTGAACGCGTCTAAGGGTGCTGGTGAAATTACAGGCACATGAGACTTGTCGAACTTATTTCTCTAATTTTTATTATAAAAATGGAACCGACTTCATACTTTACTTATATGTACATAGAAACTGATACTAAAAAGTTAGTAATCGGTTGCCGGAAACAGCGCGAAATCGGATTCCCCTAATTTGCCACCCGAGGTGGAATATTGTCTTCAAGTTTAAATTTAGTAGCAGTAGAGCGCCTTGTGCGAGAGTTTGTCCAGGGTAGTACTGCCACCTTACCTATTTCTGCCTTCAAGCAGTGTCAGCATTACTATGTTCCAGTTTTGAAGGGTAAGGTATTGGTGAACTTACAAACACATGGTACTTGCCCAGCTTATTTCTCAGGGTGACAGGCACAATGTCAGTGCCCCTGATCATTGCGATTTAAAGCTCTGAGTAGCATTGCAACGGTTATGGACAGGCGTGTCTAGCTTATCACCAGATACGCGACTTGTTCATCTTGTCACTTGATAGTAAACAAACAAATGGAAAATGAAATTTTCTCGACCTCAATAATAATTATTTATTTATTTTCTCCCAACATAAAATGTGAATTGTATATAATAATCAAATAATAACCAAGACACGTCAACATAACATTTTTTATTTTTGCCACTACATCCTCTTTCCAGCCACATTGACGATCACAGTGCTCTTCAGTCAATTAATCGCAATTACATATTTTTCTTTGTCATAACTTTTGTCCATTAGGAATACATTTTTTTAAATTTATTTGGTTTGCCTTTTACATTGCTATTACATATAGCATAGCTATTACATTGTGACCTGTTAACTAGGCACATAGTATATATATATATATATATATATATATATATATATATATACATTGATTTGTGGTTTTAAATTTAATACACTGCTAATTACAGGTCGTGCAATATTATGATTAGAAACAAATAACTATCTGCGTCCTGTACAACAAAATGATATTCTATTGTATTATTTTTCAAAAGTAATACAAATAACTAAAACATAAAACAAGTTCAAAAAACTGCATACAATCTCCATTGACGTCCAAATAATGACAATAATACATATAAAAATAATAACATACACACTCAACATAGCCCCGCACTAGGGACACCCCGTATCACGGATGCTATGGACTCACATATAGACAACCACAAATTACCCCAAACTCATGGGAGAAACAAATTTAGACCATACCAATATTTTCTCTTGCACGGGACGCACGGGACCTCTGCGTGGCAGGCATGGTAACCGTTTGACCACTGAGGCAGTCTCAAGTATTCACTATTATAAATTACAAACTTTGTATATGGGTAACTTCGTACCGAATTTGGTTTTTCGAACATGTGGGCAAAGTGGGTGATAATAATAATAATTATTATTATAACGCACATACTCATAGTCTCGCACTAGAGAAGCCATATAGACAACCACAAATTACACTCAAACTCACGAGAGAAATAAATGTAGCCCATTCAAATATTTGTCCCGGCCCGGGACTTCTGGTAAGTAGTCCAGCATGGTAACGGTTTGCCACAGAGGCCGATATAAAAATGGTAAGGTATTTATTATTATACCCAAAAACTTTCTCAGAAATAAAAATTTCCAGCAACAACACAACAGCTGTCGTTGTAAGGACACTCCACCAAACACTCTGTATTTCAACTACAAAATAGTGACGTGCATTCATAATAATGAACTTGGCCCAACGTTTGTCGCTCCGAAGCTACCTATAAATACCTCGCTGGACTCAAAGCAGACGTAGTCTCACTTGACATCGCTCAACACCAACAAGTGCAAAAATGGCCTTTAAGGTAATATTTCAAGCATTTTGGGAGATTGAATTCGCTTTTCAATCTTATCCATCAATTTCACTCGCTGCTCATTTGTCAATTTTATTTTATCGTCGTATTACTATTTTCATGCCCTTTTAGGGTGTAAAATTTAAGCGTTGTCAAAAATGTTGTCAGTAATAATATTCAAAACGACAAATGATGATTGAGCTTTATCAAATATTTTAATCTTAGTCCTTTTAATTCATTTTAATAATCCATTTGATTCAGTCGCTAGTGCAGTTTCATATCATATCAGTTTCGTATCATTTTTCGAATTTAAATTTCAGCACTTGTCCATTACTACAGTCTATTAGTAATTTCTCCGCGACATGCTCTTGCGCAACCAATGTGCTCCTCATGAAACTGTGTCACTGTTTCAAGTATAAATTTTGTAATTGTCATACCAGAACGCTATTGTCATGTTAAGTATGCAATAGGAGCATTTCTCTTTTATACATTCCCCAGTTATGATTATTACAAGTGTTTATTTTGAGCATACTGTTTATTTTGGTTTTGTTTTAGTGAGTACATATAACTTTTTAGCATTTTAAGTGATATATATTTCAGTTTAGAATCCTTCATTCCTAAGTTTTATTATTATTTGAATAATCAAATTATTTCGTTCACAGTTCGTCATTTTCTCCTGCCTCCTGGCCATCGCCCGCGCCGGTTTGGCTCCCCACGCCGCTCCAGTAGCGGCAAGATTAGAAGAGTTTGACGCTGTTCCCCAATACCGATTCGGTTACGACGTGGCTGATACTCTGACTGGTGACTACAAAAGCCAAACTGAGCAGCGTGACGGTGATATCGTTCAAGGGCAGTATTCCCTCGTAGACCCTGATGGCACCCGACGTGTTGTCGATTACACTGCTGATTCCGTGAATGGTTTCAACGTTGTTGTCCGCAAGGAGCCTCTTGTGGCTGCTGCCCTAGCTGTTGTGCCGGCGCGTTACGCTGCAGCACCAGTCACCCCAGTTGCTGCCCCTGCTGCCCCAGTGGTGGCTAGATACACCGCCCCGGTGACAAGATACGCTGCCTACACTGCACCAGTTGCTGCTGACTATACTGCTCCTGTCGCGGCTGCCTACGCTGCTCCGGTCGCGGCCACACCCTTTGCGGCTGCTTACACCGCCCCAGTTGCGGCTGCCTACACTTCTTCTTACACCGCTAATGGTCCGGTCGCTCGCTTCGCAGTCTATACGGGCGCTGTCCCCGCCGCCTACACAGCTCCAGTCGCACCCGTGGCGAGATTCGCCGCTCCCTTCACCTACAAATACGCTGCTGCCGCTCCTGTTGTCGCGGTCTAAACATTTCCAACTCCTTATTAGGACTGATTATGGCTAGTTAAATAAATAATAACGTTTTTTTATTCTCAATATTTGTTTTTTTCTTTCCCTCGTACAAATGTATAGTGTTATTAAACCACAATAGCAGTGTACTATACAATAGGACTAATGTAATCGGATTATGTTTCAATGTGTGAACGGCGCCCATAAATAACGATACTGGTTTGCAACGTCACAGTTGCAATTACATTCAATACGTTTAAACACATTCAGCCAATAAGGGAATTAATTAAATGTAAGTACAGTTACACACTACGAACAAAAACACGAATTACACAGTTAAACGGTAGTCATCATTTTCATTACACAAATACAAAATTTTAAAAGTGAAGAATTTCAAAAAAGAAGTTTATAAAAAAATTCTTAATCTGTCTTTGATATGAAATGATGACAATGCCAATTTACAGGTAATTTTTCTAACTTAATTAAGTAAACTGTAGTTACTTAATAAGACTTCAAAATTCAAGATTTATTTTATGGAAAGTCCAATCTTGTCTTCTGCATCTTTATTTTCTATTCCTATACTATATACTGCCTTAGCCATGGGGGCAGTTGGAGGGCGCTGATTAAGATCAAAGACTCCAGAGCCCGATTTTAAGCGTTGTTAATTGGACGGTGATCGGGTCACCTGCGGTGAGTAATTATAGTTTTAAAAATGGTGTGCTTATATGCGCGAGGATCTTCAAACAGAAGACTGGCTACATAAACCACATTCGAGCCCGCGTACGTCGCCAACATCGCAGTTGCAGCAGATATATAGTATCCATTGACAAATACGAGACAAGCAAGAGAAATCACTTCAAGCAAAATAAAAGCTATCACGACAAATTGAAAACCTTTACAGTGTTGGAAAGTTGTCGCATCCACGACAAGCCACACAAACAAATAAATCTGAAATATCTGAAGTTATTTATGTAACGCTCTTGGCGAACGTTGAGAAATAATAGTCTTGAAAAGGAGCTGGCTATACAGGTTTATGTTATGTATTCGAAGTCAGCAGTTGATAACTTTAGCTCTAGCTTTGAATTGAAATATTTTTGCAAACAACGGTAGCACGGGTCATTAAACATAACACGGCAAAATTCGTAGGTAAGCATTGTTTACCATATTGTAAAAAAGTAAACACAAGAGTTATACATTAGTATATCTTAGTAAAAAAAGAAAAAAGCATTTCTGTACGCGCTATAAATAAATGTAAGTATATAAAAAACCTCATTTTTGCAGTCTAAGGCTTTTTAAACGAGTTGTTGAATAATAAAAATGGAAGTAAATCAATTTGCTTCTCTGTAAACCCAGCGAAAGTTATTCGTGCAAAATAACTGCGCTTATAATATTGATTGTAACGAATATTATGATGTTTTAATACCGTAAATATTTTTTCAAATTTCTCCGCTAGTTTTATAATTATTAATATAAAGATTGATTGCAAAGAAAAATTCCTTTGATCTGACAGGACTCGAACTAGCATGACAGTTGCTATTCTCTATGCGAAAATACCAGTATCTTGAGCTTTATCCTATACCCCTATCGTTCTAGTCCTATAGTGCGACTGCTCTACGCACTGAGTTACAGATTGACTCACTAGACCTTACGTATTCTTCTACGCGTTTACTACAGATCTTTGTTTTTGGTTTGTATTGGATTTTTGCCGAAGCGCCTAAGTAAAAGTAATGAAAGTTTTTTCACTCAACCAGGTACCTTTACAGCTACCTCAGGTTGATAAGAGTAGTCGCTTTAGCTGCGCTTACGTTCAATATTTTTTTCATGCACTTAATTTTTCCACCCTCCCTCCGCATAAATGCCTCTGTGGCCGATAGGTTATCATGCTGATCTGCCACGCAGAGGTCCCGGGTTAGATTCCCGGGCTGGGAGAAATATTTGTGTGGCATAAAAATTTATTTATCTCGTGAGTTTGGGTGTAATTTGTGGTTATCTATATGTGTGTCCATGGTACCTGCGACACAGGGTTTCCCTGGTGCGATTCTATGAGTGTCGTCCGATATTATGTGTGCGCATAAAATTAGTGAAACAAGTAACACAAGCGAAGAATTTTTTCGGCCGAGCGTCAAAAAGTCAACTACTCCTGCATGCCTCGTACAGAGGCGAAACACGTGTCGGGTATATATTTGGTGGTGGTGTTTGTGACTATAATTGCACTTGTGTCACTTGTTTTATTAATTTTATGCCGAGGAAGAGTAGGAAAGTTAACGACACGAAAGAAACATCCAATACAAGCTCAGCTATTTCTGCAAAGTAACACCTGAATCTATTCATTATTCGAATTGTCAGATGTTGATAAACGACGTAGTGAGAGAAAATGTGTATCTAGAAAATCGCAGTGGTTGTAGGTTTGCGAAATATACTAGGTAATAGTTTTAAATATTCTCAATATTGCGAGGTACTATTTTCGCATATTTTCCAATGGTTTTTGAGGTGCTTTGCCTTAGGTATTTGGTGTTAGATACGAGTAAAAATGAGTAGTACTACAAGATCATTTATGAACAACCTATAACTATATACAGGTGCCGGGGGTGTTTTAAGGGGAAGTTATTGGACACTAGGTTTTTACCCTGAGGTAGTCACTATGTAAGAGCTTTAACACTTTATACTATAGGTTTATTATACTGCTCTCTTCATTAAAACTAACGTAATCGATGATTTTAGCGAAATTAAGTTGTTTACATAATAGAAATCAGCAAAACGAGCTCTAAAACCCCCTGTAATCGTTGTTTTATATCTTATTCGATTTCAGCTTAAGGGCGCGTTCCCATTATGTCGTGATGACATATAGTCGTCCAATTTTAACTGTCATGGTTTGCATATTTAAATTTTAATGAAGTTGTTAACACATAGAACAACACGATAAACTGTCGTTCATGACTTTTTGACGTTACGACAACAGACTGTCGTGACAATAGTAAGTGACGTCAATGACTGTGGTCCGACGATACATAAAACGTCACGGTAAAATGTGACGACAGATAATCGCAGCTTCAAACGATTCTGTCGCGCAAACAACAAGGCGGCTGCCGTGAAATGATAAATTATCGTCACAATCTAATGGGAACAGCTAGACACGACAGTCGTCCAACGATAAATAAAGCATTACGATATAATGGAAACGCGCCCTTATTGCTAAGCAAAATCAGCGTAATTATAATTAAATTAAGTAAAAAATGTTACGAGCCAAAAATAAATTTTAATTGCCAAAACTTTGAAGGTTACTGAAATTCAAATATGTTGAAATATGTCATAATGACAACAATCCACAAGTACTAGGTCGTTTAATTTGAAAAGAGAATGACTTCAATCGGTTTTTAATTTCCATTAAACGTTCTGATATAAGTTCATATTGTTATTATTTTGCGGTGCACGGATAAAGGATAATTCACATTAGACCTTGCCAACCATCCGAGTCTCGGACGTGCTGCATATTCATATTCACATTAGACTCGTGCCTAGCACGGCTTAATGTGAGTAGTCCTTAAACCTACTCAGGTTTTTGTGGTGCCGCCATGTTTAAATGAATAAGTATTTTTAAAGAATACAAAGATCGAACACACAGAAATATTTTTCGACGACCGTTACTTTCCTATTTTTAAGTTTTAAGCAGGGTGGTACATGTGATGTTAAACTAAACAATTAAGTGCGCATTTGACCTCCATCTCACATAATAGAAAGTGACAACTGCGTGGAACAACTTCTTCCTATTACGAAAATCCGAACTTTGTTCTGATGATTTGAAACTCTGTCCTACAAAATTGTAAAAGATAGAAAATATAAAATTGTTCAGAAATATAACGTGAACCCGATCTGTATGCTGTTCGCTATCGAAATATTTCTCTGAGTGCAGTTATAAAGAATGTTTGTGACATTTCAATTATGGTTTATCTACCTCACTTCACTGATCAGGCAAGTACATTCGGCTCTTTTCGAAATAACTTTTCAGCTTATTTCGCATCTACGATATCTCTATGTACATATGATATGTATTATTATGATACTTTGTTAATATTATAATATACCTTCTTCAGTATATGCGTGTATATATATTTATAATATCAAGACGAACAAATCTTGAGCCTGAAGGAAGCTGCACGTCTGTCCATAACAGTTGCAGTACCACTCATAGCTTTAAATTGCAAAGATCTGAGGGGCACTGCGCCGTCACGCTGAGACATAAGTTGACAAGTCCCATGTGCCTGTAATTTCACCAGCACCTTTACCATTCAAAACCGAAATGCTAACATTACTGCTTGGCGGCAGAAATAGGTAAGGTGGCAGTACTTCCCTGAACTCATTCACAAGGAGCTCTACTGCTAATATTTACTTCCATTCACACACGCACGCACGCACCAACGCACGCAAGCGATCACGCACGCAAGCACGTACGCACGCACGCACGCACGCACGCACGCACGCACGCACGCACGCACGCACGCACATACACATATTAGACAAACATACGACTTATCACGGTACGCTCATCTTATTCGACGAGTGGGAGCCTAGGGATTTGTAACCCAGCTACTTTTTTTAGCTATTGTACTACCTCACTTACACAGTTGAGTTTTGGTTTTATTTATTTGACGTATACTTTTGTATGAGTGTGTATATAAATAATTTTGTTGTTACTATGTAACTGTAATTGAAATAAAAAAATAATATATACCGGACGGCCACGAAGAATCGACATTTAATCGTAGTGCCAGTGATTTTTTATAAAACAAATTTGCAAAATTTCATAGCTCATGTAACTTGCCAAATTGTTTATGTAACAAATAACATTTATTTAATGTTATACGTACACATAAATAAAGTGATAAATTTAGTATCTAGCGTTACTCTAAGAGTGTCTGTAATATTAAAATGTATCTAAATTTTAGATGAGATGAGTCGTTAGGTAGATACTGTACCGAGTTTTCGAAATTTCTGTATTCAGCCAAGTTAAGTAAAATCGTTTAAAGTAAACTTTACCGTAATACTGGCAGAAATTAATGCTGAATTTATTGTTTGTGTTTATAAAG